GGCACTTGTTACTAGTAGCGATGCACTTGTTTCTAGTAGCTTCTTGTCACTACTAGTAAGGCACTTGTTACTAGTAGCGATGCACTTGTTTCTAGTAGCTTCTTGTCACTACTAGTCAGGCACTTGTTACTAGTAGCGATGCACTTGTTTCTAGTAGCTTCTTGTCACTACTAGTAAGGCACTTGTTACTAGTAGCGATGCACTTGTTTCTAGTAGCTTCTTGTCACTACTAGTAAGGCACTTGTTCCATGTCAGACAAGGGACGCTGTATCCGAAGGGGTCGACAGCCCCGCCCCATACCGACGAATAACAAAACCTTTCGTGCTAAAGCGAACTCAGGTCGCTCAGGTGATCTTTCGTGATTTGCCCCAATGTGATGAGTGGCAAAAGGTCAAGGTGGTGATTTTACGCAAACGTTTTTCGTTCGAGCCACTAGTAGCGGTCCTTGCTCCTAGTAGCGATGCCAGGAGCCCCTAGTAGCTTCTTGTTCCTAGAAGCGATGCCAGGAACCGGGCAAGGACGCTACTAGGGGCTCCTGGCATCGCTACGAACGGAGCGATCGGACGCATGCGCGCAAGGTGCCATTCTTTTGTTTTTCGGTCCGGTTCCCAAGACCTCTGTGCAGCGAAGGTGCCACGCGTAACCGCCATATCCGCCATATTCTCTGTCTTTGCCTTTGCCTCTGGCTTTGCCTTTCTCTCCTTTGAGTCTGCCTTTCTCTCCTTTCTCTCCTTTGGCTCTAGCTCCGACTCCTCCTTTGCCTTTCTCTCGAACCTCCCCATCCCCCGGATTTGCCTTCGCCTCAAGACGGAGCTCCGAGCTGATTCGATCGCCATAAACAAAGTGTGATCGCCATAAACAAAGAAAAGGTAAGCTACTAGTAACAAGTGCCACGCTAGTAGTAACAAGTGCCTTACTAGTAGTAACAAGAAGCTATTCAAAACAATAAGCTACTAGTCCAGATTGACAAAGCTCCGCGGCTGAGTGGCTCCACTTTGGACTTCATCGGATTTCCGAGGGTTTTGTGCTTCTTCCATCCACGACCAAGTTTGAAAGGGCACACCATCAACCACACTTCCTGGCTGATTCATTAAAAAAACATCAAATTGTCTGAAACGTGTGCCATGAAGATTTGGTGTGAAAACGAGATAGAGTCGGGTTAGTAAAATTGCAACGACCTCATAAGGCTTAGTTTGCGCTTAGTAGCGCAGAACAGGCCCGTGCCTACATTGATGCTTCGGCCGCCATCCAAAGTCCGGAACTTTCGGATCTCCCGCAACCGTCGCTCCTGGATTGCAAACCGAACTTGCTGAACAAGGTAAAAACGTCTGCCTTCTGTGTGCCTTGCGGATCTCTGCAACGGTGTCCACCGTACATCCTGAAGAAACCAAAGTTGCAATTTGCATTGACGACATCTTGTTGGCGTAAAATTTCACCAAACACAAGAGATACTGCAAACTAATGCAAACTAATGCAAGGGAAGCTTCGCTCTGGGAGCAAATTCACTGCCACCCTCTGCAAACAGTACAGCCTTCGATTGTCCAAAGTGAACCAACTTTCCTGAGTGAACATTCGGCGCAAAAAACAAGGAACCAACTGTACCATTGATTTATTGAATTCATTCATCTAGCTTCTTTCCTTAAGCTTGGTTCCAGACCTCTTTTTCAAACATTTCTTTCTTTGTCACCGGGTCTTGCAACGGCCGACCAGTGGTTTCATCTCTCAACCTCAACGTTCAAAGCATGACCAGCCGTTATGCCTATTCCGTTATGCCGTCATGCCGTTATGCCAATGTTTGTCTCTTATCACCATCCCTTGACGCCGCGTTCTTGCACAAAAAACAATAATACGGTTTGTCTTGCCAGTTGAGCAACGATGTTGAAATCTCCTTCGGCTATAAACGGTTGAATGTTTCTCCTGTAGGGCTTCAAACCGGGGGGTCACCAAACTTCCCCCTTTTCCATCAACGGTACTGGACAAAACACCGCGCACAAACTAGCTATGCCTTTTTGCACCAGAACGCAGGTCCCTGATTGTGAAACCAACTTCTAAACCAAACCCCTATATTTTTGCGCGATAAAATGTGAACATGCTACTCAATCTGCAAGAGAGTCTATCATGGTGCATCTAACAGTCTAAGGTCTGGAGGTGTCCCAGCAGCAGGCCTAGAGATCTAGACATATTGGGTTTCAGAACGAGGTGATGATGGCGGTCGGTAGCGGCGGTGATGGTGGTAATGGTGGTGTTGATGATGGTGGTGATAGTGGTCATGGTGGTGGAGGAGATGGCTCAGAGGCTTAGAACTGAAATTCTAGGTTTAGAGTTCCAAAGGGCATGAAATCTGCACTTCCAGGTCTTCAAAACATACTGCGCCACCTGCCGTGAAACCTACACTTCAAGGCCAAACAAAACGTTGCGTCTACCACGAAATCTGCACTTCAAGGTCGCAAAGCCCTCGGCGTGGTTCGCAGCAAGAGCACTTCCAAAGACAACATCAAGACACGAAAACGCAGTTTGCTCAAGACTTCCTCCGATGTCTGAAAGCAAACCACGTCTAAAAGTCACGACTCATTGCGCCCGTGACGAAATCAGAGCACGCCGAAGACCATGTCCAAAGTACTGCTGCTATGAGACCTCCACATCGACACAAAGCCGCTCCGATCTCCTGAGCCTGAAATTCTAAATTCTTAGCTTCTTGTTTCTGCTAGTAAGGCACTTGTTACTAGAAGCGATGCACTTGTTACTAGTAGCTTCTTGTTTCTGCTAGTAAGGCACTTGTTACTAGTAGCGATGCACTTGTTTCTAGTAGCTTCTTGTTACTACTAGTAAGGCACTTGTTACTACTAGCGATGCACTTGTTCCTAGTAGCTTCTTGTTACTACTAGTAAGGCACTTGTTACTACTAGCGATGCACTTGTTCCTAGTAGCTTCTTGTTCCTAGTAAGTCTCGAAAAGTCAAGTTAGGATCATCAGTCTTAAAAATGTGCACAGCGCCAAAACGAGAGCGCAGTCTCGAGGAGCAAGCCTGCGCAATCGAAAAGTGCCTTCGAAGATCTCGAGGTGAATGAGTGCACTGTAAATATAAGCTGCGAATTAGCCGGAGGCCCCAATGAGAACCGCCGATCAGAACCCGGCATGAATTTCCATAAGAACCCCTATACTGTTTACCACCTAATGTTACCACACTGTTGTGCCAAAACCATATAGAGTTCATTTTGCAAATGCATGAGGATAGGGGCTTCAAGGTCTGCCACACGAGCCTGAGGCCGATGCTTGCACCGAAATCGTAGCACTTCGATCGGTGGGAAAGGCGCTTCCAAGCCTCATCTAAGAGATGCATCTACGCCCAAGCGGGCCGCCTGTTTCCACAATTTGAAAAACAGAGCCCACATGGAATCATATGGAATCTAAAGGTTCTCCCCTGTTTTCGTTTCTTTGACTGGTTTTCGGTCCTGCCCGCCTGCTTAATCACTGGAAATCACTGGGGGTGGGGGCCAATCGCTTCCTGGCTCCGTATCCTTCACGTCGGAAATTTTCATTGACGCTTTCTTACACCAGCCCCACACAGTCTTTTTCAAGCAGCAAGCGCTCGCTGTCGAGTGGGGGCGCTTAGACACAAAGGATCAGATTAGGCTTAGGGCATCTTAGGGTGGACTGGGCTTTACACATCAGCACCCCTCCACAACACTACCACTCCTGTGCACGGGCCTTGTGCTCCTGCAATCATCAAAAAGCTGAGCAATGGCGAGCACGATGGTCAGCAGCACTGATGCGTGCTCTTAGTCGTCAAATCAGCCCCCATTCCCATCCGACAGCTTACCAACTCCGCACTGTAGGAGCCGATGTGGCCACCAAAGGCCGATCCGTCCGTCTTTTGGGTCGCTCTCACTACGCGGGTCAGGAAGTTTTGCGGTTCGTGTTGCCGTTACGATTGCCTTTGGGATTGAATGGAAGTGCGCAAAGGAAACTCAATACCTCAAGGCAGTTTAGGATACTATCAGATCATTTAAACTCACCCGTGAAAATTTATAGGAAATTTGACCAATGATATCGTGAAGAAAGCGCAGCTTCGAAACAGGTACTAAGCTTAGTACCTGGCTTGGGTTGGAAAAGCGGCCCAAGTTTGCACTAATGCGGACAACGAATGGTCAGAAAGAACAAGAAGTTGATCAACAAAAATCACGAAAGGTGGGCGTTCGTAACTCTCAACCTTCGTCACTTCGCAGTCCTACACACAAGTATTGCCGGTGGTCCGGAAGAACGCCACTGAAACAATTCTTCCGGCTTCGTAGTCAAAAAACATGGAAACCATATTGGAAGAGTTAAGTGGGTCATGATGGAAGCACGCCGGACAAAATATACAGAATTGCAGCGGGTGACCAATACGGTTTCTTATATGTTGATTTGACGCAGTCCGACAACACAATGACAAAATGTTGTACAAGAACCGAACCTCAATCAACAAAACGTCGTCAATCAAAAATGGAAAGTGCAACTAAAAACAATGTACATGACAAAAATCGTCGTGAAGGACATTGAGCCCGAAGAAGGCAAGGAAGAAGTCATAAACAATGTGGGTGAGCAAGAGGGAACACAGAACGAAGAGAAACCCAAAAAGGAAGTACAACAAATATGAAGTTCCCAAGAGGGAACACAGAACTCAGGGCAACGAAACGGTCTATTGCGCCGATTGCAACAAGCATGTCCCCACACACAACCATGGCTACAACCACCTATGTCGGCCACGTGAAGAAAAACCAATCAATCAAGCGCAGCGGCTTTCCTTTCTTGCTCTGGGCTCTCAGTTCAGCTTCTGGACTCCGCTGATAGAGTCAAGTGAAAAGGGGCTGCGGGACACATACACAGTCCACATGCAGCAGGCTACCTTACACGCTAGCAACTCTCTAGATGACTGAGCCTCCTGAACAAGTGAAAAGAGAGATGCCTAGGCAGCCACGGCTCAATGCCCCTCAGTGGCACTTCAGGCCTTCAAGGCAAGCGCGCGCTTATGTGTCGAGAAGCGATAGTGCATTCTTTCGAGCAATGTTTTCATCCATTGGCTGTCTAAGGGCTTGGTGAATCGCTTAGCAAGCTTAATCTTCCCAGAAAGGACTTGTTGTTGGGTCCACAGGAAAATACTGTATCTACATGCTCGACTTTCCCCAGTCCACGTCGACTGCCTATTGCTAAACCTGTTGTTGCGTCCGTATAGCATGTGATACTGACATGTATGTTCCAGTCTGCCAATAAGCTCTGCTCGCCAAGAGCTTGGCCTGAACCAGATACCAACCCATAATACTCAGCCTCTCCAGAACTGAGTGCAATAACTGCTTGTGGCTTACATGTATTGCGAATAGTGCAACTTCCCAAAAGCAATGTACCAGTTGTACTCTTTCGAGATTCTAAACAACCAGCATGGTCTGCGTCTACCCAAACATCAAGTTGGGCGAAATGTGTCCGATTTGGAAATATGTGCAACAATTGGGGATGTGATCGCAAATATCGAGCTCCACGCTTCAACATCTGCATATGTGCTTGCGTGGCATCCTTCAATCCTTTTGCCAGCTCCTTTCCAAGAACAAGTAGATCAGGACGATCTTCGGAAAGGTAAGCCAATCTCACGCTCACTGAGCAATAGCGAGCCGCGCACCGGGCGTTACTATCTTTGGACGGCAGCGCTGGGCGCTACTATCTTTAACCTTGTCCATGATGCGATACCAGCGACGCATCCCACGTGCATATATATATATATTCTTTTTTGCCCGTAGCGCAGTGTCCACAGATAGACAAGCAACAAAGAGTAACGCCCGGCGTGCCGGGCGTGATTTCCAATTGCTGCCTTGTGAAGCATCCTACGCGTCGGCCAGTGGTACAGTGTCCACAAATAGAGAAAACAACAAATAGTCAAATAGTAGCGATAACTTTGAGCGCTCCTTTTGGTCTCTGAGCCTAGATCACGCCGGATCCTACCAGTGTGGACTGTTTAGAGCGCCGTCCGTGCAAAAATAGCCGACCGTAGCCAATATTTGAAATTGCGTTCGTCCGGCGCGCCGGGCAGTACTTTCTGGACCATTGAGCATTTCTTTGGTATACAGTTGAACTTCTCCGGACTCAATGAGGAGGGAGAAAAGCCTTTGCTTTATAACAGCGATGACGCCAACGCTGTCATTTGTTCGGAAAGGGCACAAACACCGTACCTTGATTGCGCTGTTGCATGTCGTTGCTGAGCCACCCTGATGGCAAGGGCTCGGCTAAACACTCGACATCATGGTCCACCATGCTCCACCTTCCTTTGAAATCCCTGGGCCCAAGAAATAACATATTCGTTTGTGATTTCTTATTCAAAAAAATGTCAAAAAAACTGACGGCGCGTCCTCCTCACCGCAGCCTTTTCACGCGCGTTTGGCGCATCTTCGGTTTCGTCAGGCGTTTCCAATTTTCAAGCGGATCCTGCTTCTACGAATGTCTTGAACATCAACTACAACACTCCGACAACACCGGCGCGATCAGGCAAAGCAAGTGGCTTTAGTGTCTCGACCAGCACCTGGCACAATCAAATCCTCAGACCCTGCCATACCCTACCTACCATTCCATTTCTGGCCAGTGTTGGAAAGGTAGGGTATACCCAAGGGACAGCCGGACCAAATTCTCTAGAAAATGATGGATGGTATG